TCCGCCTCAGCCTTCCGAGTAGCTGGAATTACAGGCGTGCGCCACCACGCCCGGCTGATTTTTTTATTTATTGTGGAGATGAGGTCTCGCTGCCCAGGCAGGTCTCGAACCCGCGGGCTCAGGCCATCCACTCCCCTCAGCCTCCCAAAGGTGCGGGATGACAGGCTGAGCCACCGAGCCCGGCCTGCTTTCTTCTTTACACATCTTGACATTCCCCAAGTAGGTAGGCCTTCCATAACCAGAATGCAAATGAACGAAAACCGGGGCCTTCTGCCTAGCACGCTCTTGTGTCTTTTCCGCTCTTTGTGTCTGCAAATCTCTGGACACAAAAGTGTCCTGTGGACACCAGAGCTCAAGAACACCAGAGGTAGGGGATGGCCACACACGGATGCCCACTGCGCAGACACTGCCACCTGTTCACCCCACAGCCACCCCGCTTTTGCCCTCGCTAAACCTCCGGCACCTCGTTTGGGCAGCCACGCCCAGTGAGGGTCAGGAATACAATGGGTACACGCCCCTCAAAGCCACCCCATCATCCTCAGCCAGTGATTGGCCTGGGGTGGTCACATGGCCCCGACCCACCAAAGAGATGAAAGGGCAGTTGGATGCGACCCTTCCCGGGAGAGGCGATGGAGAGACAGCCAGCTCCGGTGCGCCCAGGAGTTCCTTCCTGCGCCAGAGAGTGTCCACGGTTGGATGCACATTTGGAGTGACAGCAGCCATCCTGGGGCCCTGAAGGGCGGCCTGGCCTATATCTACAAAGGACCCAGTCCTGGTGGCACTGCCCAGCTGCCAAGTATGTCCTGGGTTGCTGTGTTTGTTCTAAGCCGCCGCGGGCCAGATTCCTGTCACTTGCAGCCTCAGTAAAGGCCATGGCCATGACACGGCTCTCCCTCAGAAGGGCCCATGCTTCCCCCAGGGGACGGCCTACAATGGGCTCCCAAGGAAGGGGAGATGCTGGCAGGTGGCGGAGAGTCTGTGCAGAGCCCTGGGGTCACACCTGCTATCCAGGGTGACCTTTGTCACTGATAACAGACCAGCACGGGCGCTGGCGCTTCCCAAGCACTGAGGACTCGTGAGACACAGCCCGGGGCTTCTCCCCAATATCTGGAGGCCCCGGAGCACGCCCTCCCCCGGCCAGCCCCCCCACCGGGCCACGGTCACCTCGATCTGGGGCAGGAAGGTGTGGAGCGAGGGCAGGTCTGGCAGGCTGGCGGTGACTTCCAGGAGCCGCTGGGCCAGCGCCCGCCACAGCTGCAGGTCCCGCAGAGGCCGCTGGAAACGCTGCCACAGCTCCACCCCCGTGGCACTGCACTGCCGGGTGCTCTTCCCTTTCAGGCTGCGGGGACAGTGGGGGAGAGACACAGCAGAGAGCGGGGTCAGGCCAGGGGAGGCCGCTCCCAGGCTGGGCGCACTCCTCGCCCAGTGGCTGGCAGTGTCGGGGGTGACAGACTCAAGGTCCAGCTGGAAGCAACCGTGGCTAATTTTGACACGAAAGGGCCCCGGGAGCTTGTGGCACCCGCCTGTCATCCAGGGGCTTGGGAGGCAGAGGATTGCAGGAACCCAGTTCGAGACCAGCCTGGGCAACGTGAGGAGACCTTGTCTCTGCCAATTTTTTTTTTAATTAGCCAGTGCTGTGGTGCACGCCTGTAGTCCCAGCTACTCGGGAGGCTGAGGTGGGAGGATAGCTTAAGCCCAGGAGGTGGAGACTGCAGTGAGCTGTGGCTGCACCCTGGCCCTCCAGCCTGGGGGACAGAGCTGTCTCCAAAAAAAAAAAGAATAAGAAAGAAGGCGTCAGCCACAGGCCTCGGCAGGCTTTAAATCAAGTGTTCTCTGATCTGGAGTAGGTGCAATGAGCTGGGAATTTGGAGTCAGACTGGCTGTGTGACCTTAAGGGGTTTAATAACATCCAGCCTCAGCTTTCTCACCTGTAAAATATGACACCGGCCGGGCGCGGTGGCTCACACCTATGATCCTAGCACTTTGGGAGGCCGAGGCGAGAGGACTGCCTGAGCCCGCGGGTTCGAGACCCGCCTGGACAACTCGGCGAGACCTCATCTTTACAATAAATCAAAAAAGTAGCCAGGCGTGGTGGCGCATGCCTGTAGCTCCGCCTACTTGGAAGGCCGAGGCGGAAGGATCGCCGGAGCCCAGCAGGCCGAGGCTGCGGTGGCTGGGAGCCTGCCACTGCCCTCCAACTCCAAAAACAAAAATAAAAATACAGCACAGGACCGCCTCTTAGAGGCACCGTAAGCATTATGTAACACATGGAAACTGCTTCCAGTGACGGAAGACTAATTCAGCCCGGCCCTCCCACGGACGACAAAAACAAACAAAATGCCTGATCACACGTTAACAGTAAATAACAGAAATGTGAGTCTAACACCCAAAGCTGCGCCGACCCGGAAGGCTTCTGCCAATCTGGAAGAAACAGCTGCACGGCTGAGCTGGGGCGTTGGCAGCCTTTTAGAGGAAGCGCCCTTCGAGGGGGCGTATCCTGGATCACGGCACCTCACGGCAAGCTGGGACTGCGGCGGTTGCCACCCACAGGACACACTGCGAGCAAACTGGGCCCCAAACAGTCAGCCCGGCTTCACCAGGGAACCAAGCCCCGAAGATAAATCAAGGAGACCTGGCCGGGTCCTGCCTGCCCTGGGCATCCCGCAGAAGCAAACAAAATGCTTTCTTGACTGAGACCTCATCTTCCCTGGCCCGACTCCCACCAATAATTTGTCTTTTTCTTTGAGTTGGAGTCTCACTCTGTCGCCCAGACTGGAGTGCAGTGGCCGCTCCCGGCCACCGCAGCCTCGACCCGCTGGGCTCCGGCGATCCTTCCGCCTCAGCCTTCCGAGTAGCCGGAATTACAGGCGCGCGCCACCACGCCCGGCTGATTTTTTGATTTATTGTAATA